CTGGCGTGTACAACAATAATTCGCTACCATTATTTTAAAAGAGCAGAGACAATATAAAAAAACAACTCGAGTAAACTTAATTTAGTTTTTATAAGAAAGCTCGAAGAAACGTCAGCAGTTATATTAAATAACAATTTCAAAGCTCTCACGCAAATGCAATGTGCAGCGGCAGCGGCCAGTGGAAATGCGATAAACGTGGGTTATCGCATTTCGCCGTGAGCCCGATAGCCGACAGCACTTAAGGCTCTTACTGCAAACTTCACTAATATACATTATTATAAATCAAAGTGAACTTGACAATTTTTATTCTTTTAAAATGTTATTATAATACTTTCAGCTATAGGTACTTTGTATCATTGTTTTAAACAAAGCAACGAAACTTTTTAAAGCAATTTATTTTCTTCAAGTACCAGTCACCATGGATTCTGATTACTGAATTACTGAATTACTCATTATATTCTAATAAGAATATGTTATTGTATAAAATAAATATAAGATTTTATATTATAGTATCGTAAATCGGGCAATTCTATAATTTAGATATGAATATAAAAAATTTGAGTCACGCATCCAGTGCCCATAAAAATTTAAAGCCTCAACAAATTGGAATTGAACGAAACCGATGGCAAATTTATTTTACAGTCATACGTAAATAAATTAAACGCCTTTTTAAATTGTTCATATTTTATCCGATCTGCAAAACTTAACCTAAATCGAAATAGACATATATTGAACATAAAAAATTACCCAAAAGTATACTATATTTGGAAAACGGTTAACATGTTTTTGCAGCTTTTAGAGGAAGCTAAATTATCTTGTTATCTTATTGTTACAAAGGCTGTGCGGGATAAAGCTGTTAACTTAATACAATAAGGTTCGTTAAATTGTTCGCAAAACAACACGAGGCGCTTTAGCCGTTACTGCGATCTAATAACATGATATTACTGCTGAAGTCCAGTAAAATAAATATACTTACTGCTTAGTACAGTTTAAAGTTGAAAAAATACTTTTGAGGAGCGAGAAAAAATAAAACAATAAAGAAATCAATCGGATTGTATAAAGTTTTAGCTTATTTTAAACAAAACTAAACTAAGACTAAAGCATACACTTATGTAACTTTTGCTATATGGGATAGGCAAATAGGTAATTTTTTTTTTATTTATTTTTTTACTCACGTTTAGAATCATGTTGTTATTGTCAGTAAAGAAGAATTATTTATTTATTTAGCACTAGTACTAATCTATTGTTCCTCCCCCCGCTCTGTGTTGATATGGTCAACAAAATCAAATTGTTAAAATGCTAAATTAAATGAATGCAATGTGGAAACGTCTCTATTAAAATAAATGCCTTAAGTAATACAAAGTGCTATTTTACGATTCAGTATTACCCGAATTAAAACAACCTTTTAAGAGGATTTTAAAGGAGATCTCAGCTAATTAAAAAGTCAAATTAAAGAAAGAAAATAAACGGATCCCGACTTCAAAGCGCCTACACGAAATTCTTGACTATGTTTTAATTTTGCATAATTGTTTCTCCGAAATACTTTCGGAATATTATACATAATTTACATTTTTTACAAATTATAATTTGCTAAAACTACTTATTATAACATTTCTACTAATTTGTATAAGTTTTTAAAGTTAGTGTATAATTAGAGAATGACCTACAATAAGTATAATATAACGAACATTCTTCTCTGTGCGTAAATTAAAAGTCAGTATGTAAAATTGATGTTACCGTCGGAGAATTTATTTTACATCCACTTGTAAATAAATTACGGTCTTTTTAATTTGTGCATATTTGATTTCATTCGGAAAAGTAATTATGTAGCCTTGATTTACTGTTGTACGAATTTTTATCTGACAGCAGAAAAAAAAATATTTTTTTTTTTATTCAGTTTCAATGCGAACGATTCGGTTACGGAAAAATAACTGAAGATCAGGTAACAACACTTTATTTAGATATTTGTTTAATGAAAGTTCTAACTGGACATAATAGTTACGATATGTGAACATTTTATAAGATAAAGTTGCAAATGAGATGTTCATCAACGCCTATATCTGCAATACCAAAGGATCCGTATCTGTGTTGCCAGCCGATAAGATATTTAGATTAGTTAAAACAAAGTAATCCTATAAGTGTTCGGTTTTGTCCTATGAGGTACGGAACCCTAAAAAAGATATGTTCTATTCTGTGTTAATGTTTTTATTTACAGACATTATAAATGTGATAGGAGTCCGTGTAAACTTATAAGTTCTAAACAACATTAACTAGAAGTAGAAAAAGTTAACTGATATTTTAATAATTATAATAGCATTGAAATTGATAACGCGAGAAGATGGACGTGGCAATTGAAATGCGAGTACATTATTCAGTATCGATCGTCGCATGCCCATCTCTGGCAGGTCCTTCAATAATTTATTGTCCGACGCCACCTGGCATACGACCGTTTGCGTTACAATTTTATACCCAACGGCAACGTAACGACAACATCACGATTTTCAAAAAGGTACCAGACGAAGATTGAACGATATGAATTTTCTTTAATTTTGTATATAGATCAAATATCAAATTGTGATAGTCATCGATCAAATTCATTGCCGTAAAGCTTCCTTCAATGTACGAGTTTTTTTTAATTAAACACATTTTTAGTATAGCACTTTGTTAGCTATAATTTCATATAATCGAATGTCTTGTGTATTAAAATGCCTGACCATTCAGTTGCTTCATTATTAATTAATAATTTCCGCGTCAGTTGTCGGCGGGGGAATATCAAAATAATGTAAAACATTTATCATGACGCCTCAGATTCATATTTGATTTTAAACGGAAAAATCGAACGTCATTTTTTAAAAATGGGATTCAATGCACTTTTTACGAAATATGCAAATGGCCAGTGCAGTTTGACAATTATATTTCTTTGAAATAAAAGAAAAAAATTAAATTAGTGGAGGAGATGTAGATCGAAATTACTTAAAATTCTTCGTTTGTTAAAACATCGGCTATTATTTGCATTTATTCTTCGTAAATAAAAATCGTTAGATCTAAATAGTAAACTAGATGTGGTATTAACGTCTGTCAATCGCCTTTGCAATTGCAACCGCTTGAACTGCAATCATCAGCTGACCTACTGACTTGCATTAATTTATAATGAATTGCTTGAACATTTTTACCCTATTGAACACCTGTTTTTTTTTCTAAGTTATTTAAAATGAAGACAACTGCAAACTTTTAATAATACGCTTGGTATTTTAAATTTACGAGTCAAAGAAACTTTTAATTATACGAATATTAGATTGCAAGGAGTATTAAAGTCTGACTGAGAAATACTGACACATGCTGACAGGCTGACTCGATCATAATTGGGATGCTTAGTCTCTGAGTGGTTCGTGTTTTGTTTATTGTTTTTTGAACATTGTCTTAGCATTCCATACTAGAGCGTAATAATTGTTTATTCATGTTATTATATCAACTCTGAACTCACAAACAAATGTCTATAGAAAGATCTGTCTATATGTTTTCTAATAAGGTGACTCGGTATCTTACTAATATTATAATTGTTAATGTTTAGATTGATGGATGGATTTTTGTTTGATGTTGATGTAGAATATAGCCTGGAAGAATACACTTATTAAGTTTTTTAATAACGCGCGGACGGACCCGCGGGCAACAGCTAGTTTTACATAAAGGATTACAAGTAATATAATACTTCTGTTGGAAAATCAATAAATCTGATTTACTGTTGTTAACTTCGGGGTAATACGAATGGAATGAGAACTCACTCTTCATGTTCTTAAGTTCAAACTGTTGATGAAAATCTAGTGAGAAAATTGAATTTTTAATTCCATGTTTTACTTATATAAAAGAAGCATATCTTTTACATAACATACAACAAATACATAAATAAAATCTACTTAAGTATCCACCTATCATTGAGCACTCAATTGTTACAGGAAATGCATTTTTGTAAACATGCCACGCAACACAATCAAATTATATCGTACAAGTATATATTATTTATACGTTTCGAATAACGCATACCGTGTGATATTTGACTCATCTTTTCCCGTGGTATCCACAGTCGAAACATCATTACAAAAACATTCCCATACATAATGCACTAAAGAGTAACAAAATAATGAACACCTCCGAAAGTAGGAAATTACTCTCATCGTCATCAGCTCACTATACGTCCCCACCGAGGAGCTCGGAGCCTACCCTAAGTTAAGGGTGTTTAGCCTATAGTCAACCACGCTGGCCAAGTGCGGGTTGGTTGACTTTACACATATCTTTGAATTTCTTCTCAGATATGTGCAGGTTGCATTGCAAACCGTTGCCCATAGACATACGCAATCGCATATGTGTTGCCTACCTTTAATCGACGGTGGAGGGGATGCACAGAAAGAAAATATCTTCCCTTTCCTTGCATCCTCTCATCCGGAAAGTTCACTTCCACTTCCCATCCTTTCCTTAAAAAGAAAAGGATGGGAAGGGAAAGAGGACAAAATTAGGCCTCCGGGACGCACACTCATCAGACGAAACGCGGAATTGCTTCCACTTCACGCCTGTTTTCTGTATTCAATATTAATTAGGTATTAAATCGAATACCGAGGATTTGATTTCAACGTCCTTTTCATATTAATATTGCACATTTTTTAGATTTCTTTTTACAACACTAATTTATTTACGCTTTAGTGTACTTATAGCTTGTAGGCAAACTTAAAACAAATCAAAAATGGCGACGGTGTCACGACCCCTGTATAGACCAATCAGGGCAAGCGTAATGAATACAACATCTCTTCCTCGAAGAGAGTAATATAACTCAAAACAAAGTCCACGCATAAAGCAAAGCAGTTGGACTGTATCCATTTCTACTTTTGTACTGATAAATTCAAAGCAGTGTACACAAAACCTGTAATGTATATTGACACAATTGTGATTTGTTTACGTTTGCTTGAAGTTGGCGTCACCAACATATAAGTGTTTGTGTTACGTTTCATTTTACTGAACAGTTCCATTTTGAGTCGATCGCGTGCGCAGTGATTTAGTGCTTGCACTCGAGCAGCTTTTTAAAGTAAAAACACGCAGTTTTTCCTACTGCATAATTGGTCAGTCTTTTGACAGTAGGTAAGTATTGTGTTTTCATATAATTCTTTTTTTATAGAATTTGTTCTGATATAAAAAATTTAAAAATTTCATGTGAACTAAATGCCATTTATTATTACGAGTAAAAGTAACTTTTTTATTTAATAGTATCGGATCCATAAAACATTATATAATTCGTCATGAACGCATACGTCGTGTGCCCATAAAATAAAACAACAGTTGCGAATTCATGCATGAAAGAAATTATTTGCCGTCAGTTGAATGAATTAATTTAATTTCAGTTGAAAATGCAAGACCGTGTAAGCAGATATTCAGCATGGTTTTGGGAAAAGTGGTGTCTTCTGACCGCATATCTTCATTTGGCATGTATTCATTTATTTTACATGAATATTATCTTACATAATAACACGTCACTGCGACTTATATTTTATTCTAACGAATGACAAAGAATTGTGATGACACATTATGTATTTACGACTCTATTTATAATTTCAGGTTGCGATATTTATTGAAATAGGGACACATATCTTATTAATATTGATCTACACGAGCGGCTTGCAGTGCAATACCAACCTAGACACGGTGAGTTCTAATTTAATCTCACTTATGTATGTATGTGTTAAAATAATATTAAACAAATACGAAGACTTCTTTCAAAAGGTTTCAGTAAAAACTTTTTGTGGTTGATGTACGTTACAATTGAATGGCTTTATTTGAATTTATGTGTAGTGTGTTTTATTTATGCTTGTTGTTTTTGATTATGCTTTGTGATCAAGACTAGTGGCCCGCTTCTTCATCTTCCAGACTATGTTCTATATCTATGCCAACTATCATCGATATCTTCTGTAGATAACCTTTAAACAAACATCCATCCATCCATCCATCTAAACATTCGCATCTATAATATAAGTAAGACAAGATTACTTATTATTTAAAACATAACACAAATTATATAGAGACGGATCTTTCTTTTTATTTATTGATAAAAATAATTTCAGCTTCATAAAAACTGGACTTCATTTGAAAAGATAATACATGTGACGACATTAGGAGTGCATGGCTTCACGCCATTTCTGGTTGCGTATTCAGGGCCTCTTGACGTCCGTGAAGACACGTTAAACGAGAAGTTATGTTGCCCTGGTATTTTACATTTACCAGTGCTGGATTCAATTATCATCATTAGCAATTTTATATGGTTTAAGTTCGTGTTTTCGTTCTACTATTCCTTATATATGGTAATATATTTTTTATTTCACTTTTGATTTAATATTATGAAGAATACTGCCTTATTTCCGACGTGAAGCTATTATAGTAGATACATCTATTGGAAGGTAGTGCATATTAAGCGCTAAATATTCTTTTAAATAAATTAAAAAAACACACAGTTAAAAAAAAGCAAAATAAATTGCATTTACAAAAGATCCCATTTAAAAAGGGGAAAAAATAAATTGTTCTTGGTTAATGGGAAGAGGCTCAGATGATGCTGCCTCCAGTTTATGACTGAAGACCGCGCAGGTTTTCAGCACCCGTAAATACCCCGACAAAATACAGGTGCCCAGGGAGACCTCTTCAGTGTTGCTTTAGTCTCGAATCTATAGTTTAACTTAAGCAATATAACTAGCAGATGAACCTAGATCTTACTGGTTACCTGTTCAATACAATACAAAGTAATTTCTTTTTTACAGAAAGATGTACGAAGAATGCAACTATTTCTTAATTTGGCTATGATCAAATTGTTAATGGAACTAGTGTACAAAGCAATGAGACATAACATACAAGATGATATGTTCGATATTGATGTCTCCTGGAATTCTGAACTGATGAATTTCTGTAAGTACTTTTATATCTGTTACTGAGCGTGGGTTTCTGAGATCAAAATCTCTTTCTCGTCTCGTCTCTTATCGTCATCCTAGTAATTATCTTTGACAAAACAGATATACCAGTATGTTTTAATTGGGTATTTTGGTCTAAGAAACCCACGGTGAGATAGCGAACCTACTAGTAATTATTACTGCATCAGTTAAAGGTTTAAATTCAAAAGATAACTTAAATTTCTTCTTATTTTAATTTTTTTTTTCATGGCGATAACCTAAAATTGATTTACAGTTATTTACATATTTTTGATGACTTCTGTACACTATCACATAAAGTTCCTGCAAAAGACAACTACTAAACCAACGACAACAATCATCAAAATACAAACCGAAGTTAATGATAATATCGAAGAAAAAACTGAGCAGCCAATCGCTGAAGAGAAAGTAGACCAGCCACCGGCATATGCTTTGGTTTGATGTTTATGTTTGAATCAAAAATTTTATACGTTAAAATTAAATATTTTTATTCCTCGTATATGCGTGCCAGTAACCATATTTTTATTGTAAAATAAATTAGCCAAATTATAAGAAGTTTCATTCTAACGAAATTAGTTTTTCGTTTGTATTTAAAAGTTTAAAAAGACAAGCCGTCGCCCGCGTCTCTGTCCGCAAGGAATTAATAAAAAATTAATGAGTAGCTTATGTGTTCTTCCAGACTATGTTCTACCTCTATGTCAAATTTCATCAAGATGCGTAGAGCCGTTTTGGAGATATCTTTAAACAAACAACCATCAATGTAAACATTCGCATTAGTAATCTTACTAATATTATTAGTAAGATAAAATTGATTATGGGAACGAGGACTAGATTGTAAGGGAAGGGTATGTAGGAGAAAGAAATTGTCCTTTATATGTGCATGCAAATTTTAAGCCCATGTCTACGGACAGCGGTTACTAATTTAGATGTCTGGTGTCTTTTTGTTCGCTTAAAAAACGTATTAAATAGGCACAATACTTTCTTTCTGCGTTGGTTAAAAACAGTAATTGCCAAGTCCAGTATACTTGCGCTATGTTCAATTACGTACGTTTCCGGGCCATTAGCGAAGTAGTTTCTTTCCTTTGCTCTTCCTAATGTTATTTGTTGGCGAGTAATTACAGAGCGCGCGATCTAATCGTGTGTCGCATCCAAACAACGAAATGCCAATTTCCTAAGTTATTTCCACTCTAGAAACGCAAGTAAAGTGTTAAGGAATTTTCTTCAAGAAGGATTTATGTTTCTTTCAAAACAAAGGGCATCTAAATGGGTTTTTTTAAGTCATAAACTAATAATAATTTGCTCATGCATGTACGAATAAAATTGACTATTTATGTTACTGGCAAGAGGTTGATTGTCGCTAGTTGAATATTAACCGAATCATTAAGGAAGTTGGATTTGATTCACATTATTTCCCGAGTAGTATGAGCGTGCAATCTAGCCTATTGGTTTTTTTAATCTGTTAAATATATAACCTTTAGTAGATAAATTATGTTGAGTTAAAATGTGTCTTTTTAAATGTACTTAGCAAAGGAGATAAAACGATTTTCTTAACTGCTTCCTTGACTAAAAGTTGTTACTGCATATTAAGGTAGGCATTAAGAAAATGTCGCACATTCAAGTGCTGCAATTCCACGGAGATGCGACTTCGGTTATAACTACTGCATAATATTATGCTTTTGTTTGAATACAGAAAAGTTTCTAATTGTTATTGGTGTTCTGATCTTATATACTGCTTTTATTTATTATAACAATTAACTTTCGTGTCTTTTAGACATATCAGATGCATTTACAATCATTGCTATCTTTTTACTTTATCATCATCAGCTAACTACACGTCCCACTGCGGGACTCGGAGCCTACCCTAAGTTAGGGGTAACTAGGCCATAACCATGCTGGCCCAGTGCGGGTTGGTTGACTTCACACATATCTTTGAATTTCTTTGCAGATATTTGCAGGTTGCACCACGATGTTTTCCTTCACCGTAAGAACGTCATCGTAAATCGAAAAACACATTGGGACATGGCGGTATTCGAACCCATGACCTGCAGATTACAATTCAAGTGCTGAAACCCCTGAGCCACCACACACGACTTGTTAGCATAACATTTTGGTTGATTACTTCTTTAATTTACTATACTACTAAATTAACTGTAGATTTACCCTGCTTTAAAGTAAATGTCAACTTGGTAATCTTCTTTCGTTTCTCTTTGTAAAATCTATAGTTTATTTGTCTAAAACACAATATGAAAGCTGATTTCAGCCACCTGTCTCCGTCACAACAGCGAAAAGAATTTAAGTCAATGTATGTAAAGCTTCGGATGTGGAATTTTAATGGATCTTTTCCTCAAAGCGACCGCATTTATGTTATGCTGCCGGTATACGATCCCCTGAGATTAAATGCAACTCCATTTTTCCACACCTGTCTCATAATACTAAATAAAATAAGCATTCGATATATTTGCCTTTATTTATTTTAATGAAAATTGCTACGACGTCGCTCAATGTTAAGTCATCTGTCGATTTTATCCTGTAATTCGGAGATTCGTTATTAGTTATTAAGGTCGGGGGTTCGAATCCCGCCATTCGACTATTTTCGTAAACCATATCCTAGCAAGCATAGAGCTTAGTTGAAATGGTAAAATAAATATTAGTAAATTTACAAAAAATATACTAATATTTAAAAAAAATATGCTTGGCTTATCGAAAAATATTTTATTCAAAAAATCTAAGTTAGAACAATGTAGTGAAAGCTTAGATTTTTAGCTTGAAAGAATTCTAGTCATTGCGGGAAAAAATACCGAAGATTTTTCAAACTTCTCATGTTCATATTCATAGTCGTGACCAAAACTTACATTTTAGACTATTATAGTGGCTTACGACTACTGTGAAATTTGTTTTGACAAATACCAACTAACTTAGGGTAGGGTCAGAGCCCCTCGGTGGGAACGTATAGTGAGCTGATGATGATGATACCCACTATGTTTTTTAAAGTAAGGAGTCTCCATATTGTCTTTGAAAATAAACATATGTACAAATCAGTACACTAACAAAGACGTACAAATGTAACGTCAGTTGACAACCCACTCTTAAAGAGTGTGATTAGAAATTATAAGCAACGTTTACAGATGTTGAGGAAATTCTCTGCTCACTATAGGTGGATATATAAACTAGCGTTGAGTTTAATTAATCTGTAGTTATATCACATTACAGCAATTTCTTGTGACTGACTAACGCGTGGTTTGCCTAAAGATCTTTAAGGACTGGCCTATGTGCGGAACAATAACTTTTCCAACAGATTTATTTGGTGTTCATTACAAACTGAAGTCTGTCTTTTGTTCGATATTGACTTGAAAGTGTAATGTAAGTATGTCTATACATTGAATGCATTGCGGTCTACGGCGTAGAAGTATTGTAGACAGTGCTACGTAGAGTCAATAAAGTTTACAGTTGGTACAAAGTGCTTTTTATGAATACATTTTAAATGCTTATAATAACTATATATATTAAATTGTTTGTCTTTTGAAATCATTTCTATAATGACCGTCGTAACTTAATAAAAGGTTGTACGATGTTAAGGGTACTAATAAAAACACAATGGCAAAATTATATGTAATTTGGTGATCGCATTTGAAGATGTTATCTGTAATTAAATCGGACTATAATCTGCTCTTTCACAATAACCATACAATTATCGTTCATTTGGACTCGATTCAGTTATTTGTATATTTTGCCCTTCATTATAAGATCTCTTTTAGATTTATCATTTATTTTTTGAGGTTATTCTTAACAATATAAAAGGTATTTCTCCGTAAAAAATAGAATTGAGAATTTCCCTGAAGACTATTGGTGAAAACTTTTTTTTTGTATACGTCAACAGAATTTTCTCGCAAAATTTGTTACTTGGTTTTCATATTGAAATATTTAATTATACTTATCATTTATAAATATTATTTTGTCTTTGCAAAAAAAAGTTACAAACTTTGCCAAAGAAAACATACAATTTTTAAATCGATAAATTAGTTATCTTTAAACAAATTTCATATCTTATCTTATCTTATATATAAAATTCTCGTGTCACAATTTTCGTTCCCATACTCCTGCGAAACGGCTTGACCGATTCTCATGAAATTTGTGAGCATATTGCTCTAATACTACTAATCTGTCTGTCGGTCTGAAAATCGGCTAACATCTATTTTTAATCCCGCGCAGACGGAGATGCGGGTGACAGCTAGTATGTACATAAAAATCAATTGCCGTTTGTCAGTCTCGGTAAAACTCGAAAACGACTGAACGTATTTATCTCATCTTGGTCTTCAAATGTTCGTGGAGGTCTCGGGAAGGATTTAAAAGTGAGAAAAATTGGAATAATTGCCGGAAACCCTTTTTCTTTTCCTTTTTCCCATATGAACAACTGGATGGATCTCGCTAAAACTTGGCATAGATGATGAACATAGTCTGAAAGAACACAGATCGGCTAATTAATTATTTTTCTTTGTTTAATTACGCGCGGACGGAGTCGCGGGCGACAGCTAGTTATTTCTAAAACAACAGCTGAAACTTTTCCATCAGACGTCTAATGTTCATTAATAAAAAGAGTCGTAGTCTTAGCGGACTCCGAGTTGATATTAACTTGAGCCAGACAACGTGAAAAATGAACTGAAGAATAGCAACTTTGCACTATTACACTAGATGTTGACACTTCTTTGTTTACTTCTAAGATTAGCGTCGAGACACCGAGTAATGAGTATTAATGAACTACTTTTATTTCATTACTTCGTATCTTAGTTCTTTAACAAAATTTAATGAAAAAGTGCATTTTCTACTAAAAATTATGCAAAGCTTTGAAACACGTAAAGCGTTGATTATTAAATCTTTAAATCATATCAAAATTATACTTTTTGTTTTATAATATTTGTACACATAGAAATATTTTAGGTATGGGATTTTTAGAACTGACGGTTGATTGTCAATATCCGTTGGTTTTTGGGACCAAAATGTATCGTTATCTTTGATAAAATACAGATAACAATATGTTATAAACGGAGATTTTGGTTTCAGAAGCCCTCGGATTTACATGTAAGCTACCGGTATATACTATCTTACTCATACTTATATTATAAATGCGAATATTTAGATGGATGGATGTATGTTTGTTTGAAGGTATCTCCAGAAGGGCTGAAATTTGGCACAGTTGTAGAATATAGTCTGGAAGAACACATAGGTTACTTATTAAGTTTGTTTTTAATTACGCGCGGACGGAGTCGCGGGCGACAGCATTTATATGTATCTTATTAGTATTCTTCATTTTCACCTCGAGTCTGCTCATGTAAGCGTTAAATCAGGTCTTATTACCCATTAGTGTCGCACTGGGACTAATATTTCCCCAGGAATTTAATTTCTAAGGAAACACTTTGCCAGATAACTTCGCACGAAGTTAGCCCAATAGAATACTTAGGTGTTTTCTAAAGCAATTTACTCGTGACTAATTACCTTACGTGATGTGCTTGGATATAACTACTTGCATGAATCGTAACCCAAATGAATATAAATG